CGGCTATGGCAGGGTGTTGCGTGTCATCATGGAATAAACTCTACGCCCTACTTACGCCAGGACAACGTGATAGAAAAAAAAGAGTGTCGCACTTCGAGCTCTAGTTGGCCGTTCACCTCTGGCTTGCAGTCTCGGTTTCGATCCTTGTTGTGAGCGTATGTTACTTGGAGAAAGGGGCGCCTTCTCACCCTCATGGGTTCTGTCTGGGGGCTTCTGTTTCCTCCCACAGAAAAGACCCCATGCACGTGCTACAAGATAACAGAAATGAGACAACTTGTCTATGAATATCCTCTGTGGAAGCGTGCGTTCAAAATAATAATAGATATAGACTTCTTCGAATTGTTTCGCCCTAAAAAGGAACGAGAACAACAAGATAAATAACACCTGGGAACTAGTTTCTGGTCCGACAAAATAAATGAAATGGGGTTAACATCCTACTGTTCTGCTTATGAAGACGGACATTTGCCATGCAATGTTTCATGAGGGAAATTTTGCCCGGATAGCGTTAAAATACTCTTATTTCTTATTCCATCTTTCGGGGTTATTTTGCACCTCGGCTTTATGTCCTTTTGGAACGACTAGACGTTGTTGCTTTTCCATTGCGGCGCCCTCAGTGCATGTGGATTCTGCTTACCAGGCTTTTCTTTACAACAATTTCTCATTTGTGTTTTCTGTCCGAACAATTAACATGCTACTAGAATAAAGATCGCCCAAATAAAACAGTAATTTAAAAATACCTCAATAACCTTTACTAATATTTGTTAACAAAAATAATTCTCAACACGGTAAAATGAAAGAAACATAAGATATAAATATTTAACATATTAAATTATTATTCAAACACAGTCTTCCAAAATCACCTTTGATTTCAGTTCTCAAATCAATGACCGAGGCATCAACAGAAGCGTAAATACGAGTCACCATCACCTGCAGGCGAGCCAGATTTTGCTGAATGCTCCTAGTATCCCGTTCGTGTACAGTGTCCGCTCCTTCTAAATCCTTCACAGTCTGTGTTTGTTTATAAATAGTACGTTTAAAATCACGAAGAGTGTCTTTCTGTTCATCAAGTTCATCAAATAGGTCAGCTGCCTCGTCTTCCATTCGCGTGATACGAGATCCCAATCTTACCTCGAACCCGTCTACGCTATTCAATTCATTATCCAAAACCGACATTCGAGATCGAAGATAGCTCGATTCGCTGGCTAGCAGTCGCAGTTTTCTTTGTTCGTGATCCATTTCATCCTGAAGTTGGTGTAAACGCATCAACGTGTTCTTTTGTTGCACAGCCGATCTTGTCATGAAGCCCTCCATTTTTGATGCCTTATGTTCCAGTTCTTCGATAATGGTATATAAAGGTTCCAGACCTAAATTGAAACCAACCATGTAGTCTTGAGAAATGTTATAGGCACCGGGTGGTCCGGGTGTTATATAGTCAGGACCCGTATACTCTCCCTCCCCAGAACCGCTAACCTCGTCGGTTGTAAACTGTGTTTCTACGGTACTGTAACCTTCATCATTCACCACTGTGCTTTCAAGCCATTCAGATAACTTTTTGACAGTCATTTCAAGATCGCGTAATTTTATATTTACGCGCTGTGCGTTTAATTTCGCTTTCTGAGCTTCGCGGACAACAATATCCTCTAGGATAATAAGACTAGGAATAATTTCTTCGAGGAATTCTTCATGTCGGAATTTAAATGTACGATTTACTAGTCCGGAAAATAATCCTCTTTGTACACCCTCTAAATTGGTCACGCTGCGTTTCTGTCTCTCAAAATCCCGAAGTCGTTTAACTGAACCGTAAATGTTGTTTCCATTTTTTAACATAACATTCGCATCCTCCGAAAAATGTTTAATTCCATCAAATGCCGCATTGTCTAAAATATCCGATTTTGTTGCCTTTGCGTTTATTTTTCCTGTTTTTAAAGTTAGTTTCTTTAACAATACACTACCTCCTCGATCATCCGGGACGTTCAGTGAAATTTCAGTTCTTACTTCCTTTCCATTGTCAAGTCTTTTGATTTCCATTGTAATATACACAAGAAAACACAGTAACATAATATGGTAGACCACATACAGTTCGCTTCTTGTGATAGTTACCGCCATTTTGCGTTTGATGTGACAGTTTTATGTTAGTGTGTTGGATCAGTAATAAAGTGTATTTAAATATCTATATGTATATTTTAGATTAGTTTTGCGGTATATAATTAACTTTACCGGAGGTGTTCGAATGCGTATATCCGGGGTCTTATTTTACTACTTGACTGACAGCTGATCTCTCTTTAATTCATAAGAAATTTTTAAAGGAACACATCCATATAATGAAATGAAATGAAACCGGGTTCAATGTCGTACCTTTGCGCACCGACCCAGCTAATGAAGGAGGGCAAAGGCAACGTTGTGTGCTGTGGGAGGACATTTTGCCCACGATGAACCGAGAGAACAACCACATTTTAATATTAAAAATCTTCGTTGACATTTTGTTTCTAATACTTCACAATTTAATGAGATTTTATTATAAATGAATTAGTTGACACCACTTGACATTTTGACGAGGTCAAGTTGTCGAATATTCGTAACACGAATCATATTACACTTACTGAAATTCACAAGATATAAACTTTTAATGGGAAACCAAACTTGTAAATTTAAAGGGCTGAACTTTTAACTCTAATTACAACTTCCAGCACACCGCAAACATGTAATTACATCTAGTTATTAATCAGGTCTCGTCTTCTTTATCCCTGTCGTTGCAGAAAAGTAGGACGTTAACTCACATTTTACTTATTAATGGGCCGCAAGACCTATACCCCCAAACAATAGCTTGTCTGCAATATCGTCCCTCTGGAGAAAGCGGACGTTAGGCCCATTAAACGAATGCAAGATCAAACAATAATTTTCTTACTAAAGAAACATACACCAACCTCAAGTTTAAAGAAGGATGCTCCCATTTTAATGTTTAAAGTTCCAAAAATAATTTCTTAAAAATACTAGCAGGTTTGAAATCTATCTATGTAAATAAAATCAAAGTAAGTATATTCTCCCATCACGCTTCTTCGCCGCGCTCCATCGCCACATATGTGGTATCAAATTAACCAGCATGACCCATCGAATTTGGACCCCGCGTGAATCGGGCTTGGGCCCCGGTTGAATCACGCTTCGTCGCCGCGCTCCACCCACACATATGCGGTATCAAATTAAACAGCATAACTCCGTAAATGTTTAAGGTCATCGAATTTGGACCGCGTGGGAAATTTGGACCTCGGACGTATCGGGCCCCTGTCGAATTTGGGCCCTAGTCGAATTTGGGTCCCGGGCGAATTAGACCCTGTGCGAATTTGGGCCACGGGCGAAGCCAGATATCCCGCGAGTAGACAATATAACCATGTTTGAAAACTTTATATTTAACTCTTGATTTTTGGTATAGATCATTGGGAATTTAATTGGCAATTAAATGACATTTATTTTTCTGAATAAATTATTCTTGTTATAATGTTACAAAGAACCCAATGTGTATCACATCTGTAAAGCTAAGAATATATGGTTTTCAGTCTTTGTTCAGTCATTCTTCTACAGGAAGTGATTTTATATAAGTTGATAAAGCGTGTTTTCGTATCCTATTATTTATTTATAAATTCTGTAAATTTAATGAATAAAATATTATTTAAATAAAAAAAAAATACTTGGTTGATCAAATATGTTCCTTTTTGTTACTAATTTCTTCAACAATGTTGTTTTTACCATCACGGGTTACTAATTTCTTCAACAATGTTGTTTTTACCATCACGGGTTATATTCAATGCAACCAAACATTCAGATATAGACTAGAAACTCAGTGTATATTACTGAAATGTGAGATATTTAGTGTCAAAATTTGTCGGTTCTGACCGACAACTATATAGTAACTGGATATTGTTTCCTGGCAATACAGTTTGAATTCCTATGAGTTGTTACAATGCCAGTCTTCTTATTACAGGCATCTTGATATTTAGTACCCCTCAATTTCATAACTACAAGCAACATTAATTTAATCAGTTAAAAAAGGGTAGTTTTAAAATAAAAGAAACGAAAATTTCATTTGTGGCGCCACAATCCTCTAAACTATTCTCTGAAACTCATCTGCATAACAAAAAGACTTAAAATGTCCTGCTGGCGTAAGATTGACACGAAGCATCAAATGATTCCAATCAAGTACAGGTTATAGATTTTATTGGTGAATTAGAGCTTGTATCTACACCCTGGGACATAATTCTACTAAATATATACCATTTTAGCTAAACCCTGAACTTGCAGATATTCTGTATATCGGGAAGAAACAGGGCAAATGTATTTCATTACCAATGTTTGCATTTTTAAAATCGGTACATGAACACTGGGGCATTTTGTTGAGAAATGTTTACATGAAACTGAGGATTGTGTTGAGAAATCTGTCCATGAAACACCAGAAAACATTGTTGAGAAATATGTCCATGAAACACCAGAAAAATTTGTTTGGAAAGCTGTCCATCAAAGACCAGATAACTTTGTTGATACATCTGTCCATGAGACACTATATATATAAGAGCATTTTGGTTTTGAAATCTGTGCATGTTTACCACCCAAAAAGAAGACAATTGGTTGGATGTTGACAATTAGGTATCACTGTACTCGTTAAATCATCCTAATTCATTTCATTTAATTTTGGGTCAAATCACAGTGCCATGATAGTATTTTAATATTACTGACTTTAAAAGACAAACTTGAAGAAGTCCTTTTTTTAAAACAAATCTTGCAAACAAAGAGCAGAATTTATTTTGAAAAGTGTATAGAACAACCTGCTAATTGAGATTGACGGTTACAGCAAATAAGACAGCGAAAACCATGACAACACCTTAATCTGTTAAGCATGAATTGTAACAAAAGAACTATATATAGTAGCAGTAATGACCATCTGATATGCTTAATGGTGAACCTTCTCTTTATAACGAGAGATTTACTTGTTAATAATGGAATGAGTGACAATGGGGTAGGTAGTATTTGTCTTACTATATGTATTATATCTCATTGTCTTATAATTATTCAGTTAAATGTGTAAATATGTTGAAAATTTTAAGATTAAACCGTAAACACATGAACATACCATAATATTCAACTGATGCAATAGTTATCTTATTGTGTTATGATTGTTCTTTTGTTGTTTTGTTTTCTCATCCAATTATTTTATATCTAGGCCTATATTTAAATTTTAATTTTTGTCAAAAAATCATTTAAATGTTGGATGTGATGTGTAGAATATTATGCATATTTATAACATGGACGAAATTGACGAAAAACATCAAACGCTCTTATCAATCCTTGTCGGTAGTGGGATCCATGAAACGCATCAAAACGAGAAGTGAGAATAGTATACAGGTACGATCACTGCTTCATAAATAAAGAAAACGGTAAACTGGTTCGTTGTTAAGATTTCTATATTCTCGGTTAACAGTAGATAAATGTGAATTACAGCACAGTTAACAATCTTGATAAAAATGCTTAATTGCTGATAAGCACCTATAATGATATGGAAATTGACATTCAAGTTGATCAGAGGTAAATAAAGTTAGTTGGTCCTTATTAGTGTGATCTAAAGATGATTTCCCTAAACTCGTGCGGATTTATACAGAATGATGTTATTGTATTGACACGTTGTTACAAAATGAAACATAATATTCAAAAGTACATGTCTATAATTAAAGTGCAAAGATTATGCACAAGCACAAATTATGAGCACACACATATGAAGACAATGTAAACCACATACTATATTAGAAGAGGCAAATTTTTAACTCAATATCAGCGACTCTATGAACGAGACTAAACCTATCCCGTCGAAGAATACAACCGGTGCAGACTTGAAAAACTAGACACCAAAGACCGAAACTTAAAGTATGTTTTTCCAACTACTGAGATCTCAGTTGCGTTTGAGTTTGGTGTGCATCGCACCGCAACTTTTCCGGTTATCGCTCTGGACTTTTAGGCACAAAACTGGTAAAAATGTCACTCTAGAGCTCACAATTTTTAGTCCGATTGAGATGAAACTTTAAATATATCTTGAATGTGAATTGTACAAATTTAAGGATCCACAATAGTCGTCCGATTAGATTAAACTTGAAGGTTCAGGATCATAAAAGGTGACAATTTGCTGTAGTTTTATTGTAAAAAATGGTATTTCGTTGCCCGAAAGTCGACCATCTTAAAAAAGCGCCGCCATCTTGGGGTTTCGAATGGTTAATTGCGTTTTCAGAAAGTAGTCCCCCAGGACTATGTATGCCAATTTTGATACTATATTCACATTTGAACAATTCCCCTGATACAGTACAGTTATCTGCTGCACTATTTTCCTCCAAATAAAAATGAGAACACTGACGCCTAAAACGCCGGATGCCTCTTTAAAAAAAATAACATTACGCTGTGGGTTAGACCAGTATCGTCTAGAGCTAGATAATTGTTTTATCAGAGCTTCATACTTTTGGAAATTCATACAAAAAAAATATTGCTTGTATTGCATTGTTTACAGAGTCGATCACCAACCCTTTATATTATGCTGAATAGTACTTAATCGTGGGGTAGACATCGCCAGTTTCAATTGTATTGTTATTCGCCTTCAGGTACTCTAGCGAGTTACAGATACTGAATGTTTTCTTGAATATAATGTCCATATGTTAACTATGACGTTGATCTTATTATCTAACACACGAACAGACAATATGGTAGGTTAAACGGTTTAGCTCGTAAACGTTAATTGTAATGTATAAGATACTGTAAGTAAAAGGTATAAAACATATTGGAGACCCTAGTGTCCAATATTTAAGACTCAATGGACATTTTAAAATCACTACACGAGGCGTGTATTCTATGTGCTATTTGTAATGAACAATGACAACATATCCTACAAGTCAATAAGGAGGCAAATATATAAATATTCTATCTCTCCATTGAAATTGCAAAGACTTCTGGTGCTCAGTCGCAATAGGCACTGACTAATAGACAGGCCTTGAGCCCCATACCCCTCAATCGGAAGGTTTTTGAATCAGGGTTTTTGGTGGTACTGGTCGGGTAAGTCCTATTAAAAGCCCCGCCTCTGCCACCTACCGGTATATATCCGCCAGTCTGTCCTTTCGTGTTCATGAAACTAGAAGATGATCTCACTCCCACAAGCTTGTTACCAATTTTGCGACAATCACAAATTCCCCTAATTGTTTCAGGCGCATCATCTCAAAAACTAAACGAAGTGTATTTTATGTTTTGGGAGCACAAGTGACTATATTCTCATAGAATTTAAATCAAACTTAACAAAGGTAAGTTCCGTTTATTTTTTGAATTTTATATCTAGATTTATGCAGGGGGTTTGTCCACCTTCGCCGAAATACGATTCTGCATGGAATGTTTCCGTTATGTTGAGGTATTTGTCAGCGCTAATGACCCCTCAAAGTTTGGGATTAAAATTATTATCATTTAAACATGGCATTTGCTAGCCATATTGTAAAAGTGGGTTCTTTGGGTTGTTATTATCTGAATAGAACAGAGATCCAATATTGAAGTTTCTAAGTAATTTATTAAGTGAAGATCGTTGATTATCAAAAATAACAATATAACATAAATACAATGTATAGGGTGGTGTAGCTTATAATAATATATATGCATAGGGTGGTGTAGCTTATAATATATATATTATTTCATAATACTGTAAAATATGTAATATAACTTAATAGAGCTAACTCGCTTGTGAAGAGGTACAAATTACTGATGTCGAATTAATTAAATATAAGATCTTTATCCAATATAACTCTTAGATCTTCATTAAATATAACTATTAGATCTTTATTCTTTAGTTAGCAACAACCATTAATCGATAATAAAATATATCGTACTTTTCAGTCAATAATAGTTTAAATAATCTTAATTACAAATTTCTTTAATAAACAAGTAATCTATCGAATATATAGTAATCTATCGAATATATAGTACTTTTCGGTTTATTAAAAGTATATATTGTAAAATATTCGCTGGTAATTAAACAAGTAATGAATCATATAAATTCCCACTTTTCCGTTTATTTTTCCGTTTGTATTTTACGTCCGCTTCCACCGAGGTGATATCGCAGACAATAACTTGTTATGTATACAAGGTGCAATAATTTACAATGTGATTAGTGAAAAAGAGGATAATTACGTTTTTATATATATGTACAGAAGACAATAGATAACAGCAAGAGACATGAGATAGCAGGTGCAAAGAATAAAGAGGTGCCAGTGGACGTTTACAAAACAGACGAATTTGTAACAAAACAGACATGAATGTGGACGAACATTTGGACAGAGACAAACATTTAGACATAGTATATATAAATGGTAACTTTAAGCTAACTTATTTATATCTTCCAAAAGTCGCGGTACTGTTAAGGATGCCACGTGTAAGATTAAACTCATTTTTGATTGGTGGAAAACAATTATTGAAGTTTCTAAGTAATTTATTAAGTGAAGATCGTTGATTACCAAAAATAACAATATAACATAAATACAATGTATAGGGTGGTGTAGCTTATAATAATATATATGCATAGGGTGGTGTAGCTTATAATATATATATTATTTCATAATACTGTAAAATATGTAATATAACTTAATAGAGCTAACTCGCTTGTGAAGAGGTACAAATTACTGATGTCGAATTAATTAAATATAAGATCTTTATCCAATATAACTCTTAGATCTTCATTAAATATAACTATTAGATCTTTATTCTTTAGTTAGCAACAACCATTAATCGATAATAAAATATATCGTACTTTTCAGTCAATAATAGTTTAAATAATCTTAATTACAAATTTCTTTAATAAACAAGTAATCTATCGAATATATAGTAATCTATCGAATATATAGTAATCTATCGAATATATAGTACTTTTCGGTTTATTAAAAGTATATATTGTAAAATATTCGCTGGTAATTAAACAAGTAATGAATCATATAAATTCCCACTTTTCCGTTTATTTTAGCGCGAACCATTTTTTAATTATTTTTAGACACTATTATCTTTTATGGAAACGTATCTACATAAACAAGTATTTCGTCGACAAACGTACTTTTCCATTTTATTGAACTTATATATTGTAAAATATTCGCAAGTAATAAATATATAAATTCTTACTTTTCCGTTTATTTAAGAGCGAACCATTTTTAATTATTTTTAGACACTAAATATCTACATTTGAAACATATTTAAATAAACAAGTATTTCGTCGATAAACGTACTTTTCCATTTATTCATTTATGCTTACGTAAATTTTGAAATATCTATTAAAGTAATACTCGATTCTACTAATCGTATTTATCCGATATATTAGGATATAATTCTAAATCTTAAGTTAAGATAAATATATATATATATAAAGTTTAACATTCAAATTATACATAGATAGCTTACCTGAATATAACAGAGATCCAATATTGAAGTTTCTAAGTAATTTATTAAGTGAAGATAAATGGTAACGTTGTTGTTTTAGTTAGTTGTATTTTACGTCCGCTTCCACCGAGGTGATATCGCAGACAATAACTTGTTATGTATACAAGGTGCAATAATTTACAATGTGATTAGTGAAAAAGAGGATAATTACGTTTTTATATATATGTACAGAAGACAATAGATAACAGCAAGAGACATGAGATAGCAGGTGCAAAGAATAAAGAGGTGCCAGTGGACGTTTACAAAACAGACGAATTTGTAACAAAACAGACATGAATGTAGACGAACATTTGGACAGAGACAAACATTTAGACATAGTATATATAAATGGTAACTTTGAGCTAGCTTATTTATATCTTCCAAAAGTCGCGGTACTGTTAAGGATGCCACGTGTAAGATTAAACTCATTTCTGATTGGTGGAAAACAATTAACGAAAGACCCCCCGTTTTCTCGATACGAAGTCTGATTGGCCAGATCGAGACTCGCTTGGTTAAATATGTCAGGTAACGACATTGAGT